AAAATTCAAAATGGGACCAAGATGGGGGGGGGGGGGGGGGGGGAAGGTTGCAATTTATGAATCGTTATTTCAATTGGGTAATCTGATAGACTAAAGTGCCTCTTTTATACCACAAGGGCAATCATCTTCCTGTCAGCTGGATGGTGCTAAGGTTTTCTAGAAGACTATAAATATTGACTATTTCCCTGAGTAATGGTGAAATGCAGGTCTAAAGCCATTATACTTAATTTTGATACTTAATACAAATACTTAAAGTCTCAAATTCTGATACTGCTCAGCAACTAAGGCCTTTGTGTACTCCAGTAAATGCTTAGTAATAGCAGTGTCCCACATTAACAAAAATTTCCTGCTTTTATAACATTAAGGCAACCAACTGGGGCAGGATGGGGAGGAAGGAGAAATCTACCTTACAAGTTGACAGCTTTCATGTAATAGGGGAGTAAGTCGCACAGCAACATTCACGCTTCATTTCTCAGATACTTTTGTGGCAGGAATAGGAAAGGAAAGACAAAAGCTAAAGCAAAATCATCTCAGATCAATGCACTGGGCTGCTTCCCATCCTTCAGTCCTTTATTATACCAAAAAGTGGAGACAAGATTGATTTGCCTTCCAAGGAATTGTGCTGCAGGCTGTAAAAATAAGAGCTGGGTTTTCAGGTAGGAGTTAAAAAGTCTGAATTCTTGTTTGTGTATACAATGTGTGTTTAGTGAACTATTTCAGTCCAAATAAAAGCCATTATTGCTTCAGGTTAGACAGTAATTCAAATACTAAGAAGGCAACATACCCTTGATGGACTACCTTGAACATCATGTTCCCACCCTTGAATTTAAGCCACAAGCATCCTAGTGAGCAGAAAAAGCAGCTAAGTGATATAAAGGATAGAACTGACTTTCCAAATTGAGAAAGCTTATAGATAGGTGATGATAAAAAGATATTAAATGGAAAAAAAAAATAACAACAGCAAAAAAAAAGAAAACACAAACCCACAGTGTTTAAAGGTTATGGAACATTTAGAACAGCAACATGTATTGCAGCAAGAAGTAATATATTATAAAGAAAGAGCTTCCTAACAGGAAGATACATTAGTCTAGGAGTATTATCCCAAATGTCTTACAGCAACTGGAACGGATTTTTGCATCTGATGTGAACAAATCCATGAGGGAATACTCTGGGATCTACCTAATTCAGAAGCCTTAGAATCAAGCCATGAAACTGGATATACAGTATGACCAAACAAGGACCAATTGGGAGATGAAATACATTACTCTAAAATATATTTTACAATTTCTGTGGACATTCTACCTCTCCCTTCTGCCTCCAGTGTGAACAGATACCAATACATATAAAATGAAGGAAAAAAAAATCTGCTGGGCACTCTGGCAGAGCTAAAGTTAAGTTAACAGTAAAACCCAAACATGCTGGTTGTTTCATTGCCTGTTATTCAATTGATTTCTTTCATTTATACCCAGGCACTAAGTATACGGATACCATTCGATACATGCACATTCATCATTCAAAGCCTACATTTTGTCTGTAATAAATACTTTTTAACTTTTACTGATGTTCAATACAGACATAGCCACTAGAAAGCACAGCTGCAAACAGAACAGAAGGCAGCAACAGAATCTGAACTGTACACTGGAAAGACTCAGAATTTCTCAAGATCCAGTGACAGAAAATCTTAAGAGGAAGATGCTGGAAGTGAAACGCTTCAGAAATTCGGTTACACACACAAGGAAACAACATCCCTGTGAGAAGTCAATCAGATATCTTCAATGACTTATTCGCCCTTCATCTCATTACTTACATCTCTAAAGTATGCAAATGTGCAATTCTGAGCAACTGACATTAAGGAATAATTAACAAATCCAGAATGAAGATTTTTCTTTTCCCAATTTCAAATTCTATCACTCCCTGTCAGCAAAATTTCACTGAGGCCAAAGATGATTCAAGTTTTCACCAATCAGTGCTTAAAGCCTGATCACAAAACATTTTTCTTCTGGAGCCTGAAACTACTCCACTGCAGGTGGATCCATAAATTGGATTATTTAAAGTTATGTCACTTTCACAACCAGGGTCCAGGTAGTTTGGATCCCTGGCTGTGTTTGAAGGAAGGCAGTAAGAAGAAAGATTGTATCTTTTCAAAAAGTTGCCATTTCTGCAGCAGCCTTCTCTTGCACAAGACTTCCTTTATAAAAGGTGAATGTATTGAGAGCTGTAACTACCTCTAAAAACAAAAGGTCTATCTGGATCATGTATAAAAGAAAATCTTAGAAATGGTTAGGAATAATGAATGTTTTCTTGGATTATGTCCAGAATCTGTTCTACATATTCTATGCAGTCTCAGAATACATCTTGTAGCATTTACATTATTACCCATTCATGACGGATACTGACCCATATTTCAGATACATTAAAGCCTATGTAATACTGAATTAATTTAATATACTGAACAAACATTTCCTCTATGAGGTGAGAAGACATTTACAATGACTGTAAGAACTACAGATAGAGTTCCACAGAGCTGTTTTATACTGAAATATCCCAGCACTAATATTTATCTGTCCTTTTACATTTTTGCTTTACAGCCACAATATTAACACTGTATTTTTATCATTAAAATTTCCTGGGTATCAGGGAGCTTATCTTCATAATATGCTAACAGAAAAAACATAATACTGAAAACAGACTACAAAACCTTAGTACTACACTAAAGGAGTATACACAAATCCTGATACGAAATGCACATAAATGAGATTATAAAGCATGATCTTATGTGACAAAACTGGGATTCAAAAATTATCAGTATTACTTAGAGCAGAACATGACTTCTATTAAGACATCTGACTACCCCAAAGAGTATATATGATTCTATGATAACATATAAGAAATCAGTGCAAATAGGACATATTTTAAAAGTTATATCTTAGTAACTAAAGATAAGAGATTTCCAGATTTACTTGTAACAAATGCCCAAATATTCAGCAGCATTTAGCTTCATAGTACTGAAAAAATGTCACAGTACAGCACACCATTACTGCATTAGCAATTAGCTTGCATTTTATGAGTTATCCTTGGAAACAGATTTAAGTATTACTGTGAGCTCAGCATTACAAAGGTATGTTTATAAAGCTTAATGCAGTGAAAAGGCAGACTACAGCAGCATTTCTGAAGAACTGTACCACAAGGAATACAGTGACAATATGGTGTACAATTAATATGTATCACTAGAAAAATTTTCACAAACACAGCAGTATTTATGACAACTCCCATTTCCAAATCACCAATTTAAAAATACATACAGTAAAATATAGGTTATAGAATTATTCCAGTTTATATAAATTAACATGACTGCTTACATGCAAATGTGCCTCTTGGATATTTACAGTTTCCAGCTCTATGCAAAGCAATTCAATGATTTAGTCACTGCGTTTTAGAGGAAAAGCAAAAGGACTAACAAATGTTAGTTGAAAAATATTTTCACCACACTTCCCTAGGATTTCAACATTCAGAAAAGAGAAGTTCTCTAGTCAATATTATCACAGTATTTTGTCCCACTGCTGCAGATAAGATAATGTAAAGAGTACAAAACAATGATATAGTACCTTACCCTTTCTACCGGTGAACCATAGCATGCAATGACGAAACATAGCAGTGGCAGATGGCATTGGTGCTAGTAAATGTGAATAAAAGGATAATAGCAGAGAAATGGTGACTGGCAGACAAGATACAGAAATGTAGATGAAATGAATGCAAGCTGGTACATCTTGAAGCAAAGCTCCACCTTTAAGCCAAATGTTGCCTCTGGTCTCCTCATAATTGAGCATTAAGTTATATTTGGATACAAATTGCAACCTGCAGATCAGTCTTGATTCTCTTCATACAGAAATGCATAATTGTCTCTTGATAATGAAGAGTAGAAACGTTTTGTAAGCGAAACCCATAATCAGAAGCCCATTACTTTCTCCTCTTAAGTGATTTTTTCTTTACATTTTTAATCTCCAAATCCTGCCAGAGCTACAGTCTCTTTCCAGCACATATGTATCCACTGCAGATGTAAATCCCTGCCTAACCTGCAGCACCCCTGGATCCAGAATATTCTCAGTGTGCTCATTCATGCTGTTCTGTTGCCAAACATTTAAAATCATCCATCAAATACAAGTGGAATCTATAATAAGAAAAAACAATCTCTCCTTTCAGCTCACCCTGAAAATGGAAGGTTTTCTGATCAACAGTTATTGTGAAGGTGCTGTCGTCCTCATCGTCTATACCAATCACAGCTCCCTGTGAAACAAAGAACAAAATCCTGATAAGGCAAGCAGTGACATCAGCAGCCTACACTCTATCACTACACGACTGGAATTTGAAAGCACTGACAAATTAAAAGCAAACTGAATACAGTCAAGAGCAGAAAGATTCTCTGTTTAACCACAGGATACAAGTCAGTTTTTTAAAAGAATACATTTTCAGTTGCAGAAGAAAAAAGTAATTAATTGTAAAACTGATTTTTCTGGATAATATGAGTCTTTTATTTTTGTAATGGAAGTGGCTTTTTGCTACATCATCATTATTAAACAGTTTTCTACTACATTCCAACTTCTATTTTAAAGAAGTGCAGGTAGCAATATTTTTTAAGTAACTTCCAGGTATAAAAATGCTGAATCATAGATATTCCACAAAAAGAAGCTCTTGACCACACCGTATCTACCAGTCTACAAAACAAATAAATCATTCTAGCTAAATTAATTTAGCCCATCATGTCATATCACTGGTATGCTGTATGATCTAATTTTCAGTCCTTAAGTAAATATTAACAGTAAGTCCTCAGCATGTATCAAAAGAAGGTAGCTTTGTCTTATAATTGCTCATGAATTATTAGAAGGAAATGCAAATAAATTATAAAGTTAAAGGCCACTTTAATTCCTGCCCCTCCAAACACTTCATAAATAACACAGTTTCACCCAGCAGAAGACAACAATGAAAAAAGAACCATCCCATGCCTCTGCCAACCCCAACAAGCTCAAAAATTACCAATGGATATACTCAGCTTCTCTTCTTCTCCAGAAGACACAGCATCAGGATCTGTTTTATCCTCCCCTCTCCCACAAAACAAGACAGGCATCACTGAAAGGCCCACACATTTAAAGGGTAAATTCTTATTGTCAGAGTAAACAGCATCTAACAGCAGTTAGAGTGCCCCCAAGTCAATTCCAACAAGTGCCTCCTTTCAGCCTGCCAGGTATCACACAGCAGCTGCAGAGCAGGGGTCAGGTATACATCAGGATGGCCACGATTTAAGAATTGTTTTGGCACAGTCTTAGAGGCAAAGGGGCCTGAATCAATTCTATTCACACATAGTCTTCATAGCCCCTATATGAGGTTTCTGGCCAATGGTACCAGCCATGTATGGCTGGGACTATGAGAGGCACCACAAGACATGCTGGAAAGAACAGGTCCTATTTAAGAACAGCACCAACCACAAGTGACTCAAGGGTATAAGGCAGGAAAGGGAAGCTCCAAACTGGTTTTTTTCTTCCCTCCACTGCCAAAAATATACCACTTAACTTCTCCAAAACAGCATCTTCCATACAGGTGTTTCAAGGACAGCTCTGTGACCACTATAAAAGAGGCACCTAAAAAGTATACCCAAGCCAGTATAATTTTGAATGCTTTTCTTGCCAGGACACAACAACCACCAGATGACTAGCCACTGCAGTCAGAGATTATCTGGTAATCATGCAGTGTGCCAGTGACATGACATGATGGGCCAGGCTCACTGGGCCAGAACAATTTATTATTTTTTAACATACCAATAGACAAAAAATTTCTGGCACTTTGAGTCCATGTTTTGCTACACAACGTATCAGAAGTTGTACAGCATCATCCTCCTCACCAGCCATATCAAAAATCTGTCAGTCAGACATCAAGAACATGAAAAAGATATTCTCCCCAGAGAATGCAGGTAAAACTAAGGTAAGGCTAAAAAGGTCAGACTGGGACAGTGAAGTCCTGCCTCCATCCTAAGTGGTGGGGAGAAACTGAAGAGGGAGAGCACAAAGCTGCATGAAATGCACAAGCTCCAATTGCAGTGCTGAGGCAAAGGGTCTGAGTGTAAACATAGAAGATGCCTCTGTTGCCATGCAGATAACTGATATGAACAAGTAAAAGAAAAACTGGAGTGTGATAGTTTCAGTTTATATTCCAGAAAACTTAAGCATTGTACAGAGGACATAGATTCCTCTACGAACACACCTTCTTGCATACTCTATGACAGTCAACAAAATAATTTGAAGATGAAACTTCAGGCCTATGAAAACTGGGTATCAACAGCAAAAAGGTGAGGAACAAGCTTTTAAAAATACATTTGAGGAACAGGAAGTATTTTAGCCAAATTGTTTGAATTACAAGTTTGTTTATGTTCACACCTAGAGTTACAAATCAACAATTAATCTAAACAGAAAACCTCTTTGATAGAATTTCAGACTGCAGAAGCCCATTTGTTCAGCTGCCAGTGCCACTGTCATCTGCCAGAAGAGCTCCTTTACAAAAGCAGAAAAGAGAAACACAAAAAAACAACCCCACACACCATCAGAGAAAGGATGGGGGAGTCAGCCAATCTTCAAAAAAACTGCAAAGAGTAATTTAGGGTGGAAGAGTGGCAGATGGGGAAGAGAAAGGGATTATTTTATGTTGAATACATATAAAGATGGATAATGCAACACTGAACAGATTGTTCACTTTTAATATTTCCTAAATTGACAGGCTGAGGCCAACCTCCACATTGACAAGCTCTCAACACTATTAAAGCAGGCATTTTTTTTTCAGACTAAACTTTTCCACACAATGCAAAACACATCCTCATGAATCTTTGGGAATGTCATGGTTTGAGTTTACATTCCCCTTACAGAATTTCTAAATTAATATATCAATATATTAAACAAGGGAAAGTGCAAAAAACAAGTAATCTGAAATCCAGGTGAATGGAGATTCTCTGTACCAGTCTGAAAAGGCCATGGGCACCCCTTTATTAGGCCCACAGCAAGACTAGAAAGGAGTAACAATTGAAGAAAGAAATAACTAGAAGAAGCAGAGCTCTGCTGCAACACTCAGCAGGTGTGTGTGTCAGACCACAGATCACCTTCCCTAATACTTCTCTTAATTGAACACTGAAAATGCTCCCAATTCATACCCTCCTGACTCCTTCCCCTGTTTACATTAGCTTTCACAAGGCTGCTGCATACTGAAACCAGAGACTGTATGAGGAATGTGAAAATGTATTTTAAAAGGACTTGTGCAATAATTTTTGGTACATACATGACCACGAGGGTCACTGGGCATATGCAAGGACATCACAGCATTCCCACCTCAGCTCAGTACTGTCATTTCAAGCTACAATAGCAGCACTCAAGGTTAAATGTCCCAAGCCAGAGCACCTCAAACAAGTAACACTCAGTTTTCCCACTCTGCATCTTCTTACCTCTGTTTCCCCAATTTGTATCCCCCCTCAGCTGATATATGAAAAATTCTGCCTGCTGTGTTCTTCCTTCCCTTTCCAGTCCTCCTTTGTTTTACTTAGCTCAAGCACAGGCAAGTGGCAGGCCTAAAGAGTGTCCAAACTGGTAGAATGGAGGACACAGTAAGAAAATAAAGGCAAATCAGAAGGACAAAAGGAAACAGTTTTGCAGTGACTTTTGTAGGTATAGAACATATATGTACATACAAATACATCTTCACACACAAAGACATGAGAACTGCAAACAGCAACTTTTTCATAATGCACTACTAAAACATCTTATTCTGTCATGTTTTTTTATACAATGTATACAATACATGTTTTTATATGATTGAAATTATAGAATGTATTTAGCCCAGCATGTTACTTGACCTCTAGTGTTTTCTTTCTGTAAATACTTTCACTATTTCAGTATTTTGCTGAGTCAGGAACAGAGCACAAACCTCAAAAGTCTCCTTGCAGTTCTCTCCATTAGGCCACATTATACAGAGCAAGGCATTAAGTATAGAATAAAACAACACTTACCCTGAGTCTAACACACCCTCGGCGTGATCCTCTCATCATTTTGTCTTTTGACTGAAACAGAAAAAAAACCAGATCACTGGATTAACAAATACAGTAAGAATTGCAAGGAGAAAGTTCAAAACAACCAAGAAAAGAGCAAAGCATTTTTGTATGCTTTATTGACTGATTAAACAAGATTCAACTTCTATTACAAAAGAGGTTAGTTCTCACACAAAAGAAAGTACACCACCATGGTATAAAAGAGTAATCTTTCAAAAAATGATAATTCAATATCCTACTTCAAGAAGTTTTGTAGAAACCTTGAAGAAATATCTAAAAGATGCAGTCCACACCTCTATAGAAAGTAAAAAGAAGTGAAGAAAAAAGGAATTAGGAAATATTAAAAACTGGCAGTATACTGTTTTAAATCTTCCTCCTTTCTCTCCTACTCTGAGATATAAGAAAATCCAGCTGTGCAGGCAGAAGTGCACAAATGAAATTGTATTCCTGTCAGGAAGTTTCTCAGATTCATACACCTTTTCATACATATAAAAATTCCCTGTTTGGACAGGACCTTTAACGTTCAGCTGTTCCCAGCACTGACATATAGATTTATCAGTAACTTTCTGCCTATGTCCTCTGTGTGACTGGGCAACAGTGGCAAGTCCAAGTGGCACACACACAAACTCTTTCAGACAAAGAAAAAAAACACCACCTTTTAGTCTTCCTAAATACTCAGTTTCTCTGATAGATGCAAAACATCTTTTGGTTTTTAACTACCCACACACACCCCTTCTGTTCTTTACATTAGAAATTCTGCAAAGGTAGTCTTGTTTAATACAACCCCTTTTCTCTTACCACCTAAATATTCAAACTACATTATTTCAGGTAATGAAAACACAGACATCTCTGGAGCTTTGTGAACAAATTTTCTTGCTGTCATCCTCTGAAGCATCCACTTCTTTCCAGCAGTATGTTAACAATTCCATCTAGGCAACATATTGATGCGATTATGACCCTCTCTATTGTCACTGAGGCCATTAGACAATGACATTTTATTGGTATCTGTGGAAAAAAAAAAGACAGGAACAAAACGTACCTGTCTTCACAGCAAAAAAAAATAGTATTTGTCTGCTAATGTATTTGAGATACAGCTACAAGAAAAGTCTGAAGCAGTCACAGCAAGTACTAATCACTAAAGATAACTTTAAAATATAGCAGTCAGAGCTTCAAATCATGTTTTTGCTGATCTCTTGTTCAATTCCGTCTCATTTGTCAAATGTGTCAGAGTTGTTTTCTGTATGTTAGAAACCATCAGTATTAATCTAATTGTTTTCACAACAACATGGGTTATCTCGTCAGAATGAAATGGAAGTAAAGACAAGCAGTGCATCCACAATGTATTCCACAAATATATAAGTTATTTGTAGATTTCCTGACTGAAAACTTCTACATAGGGAAGTTGTTGTTTTTATTTATTTATTTATTTATTTAAGAGCTCGAAACTAAGAAAGGATATGGAAACAAAGTTACTCCATCAGAAATTGCATATATTTGGGACACACCTCACTAGAGTACACTTTTATTTTTTTATATTCACGGCCTTGAGTGTTCTCCTAAAATGGGAGGACACCACTGAGAGCTTATTACTCCCCCTGGTGGTTTCAAGAAGAAATATTGACATAATCTTAGCAGGAAAGAAAATCTCTGGATTGAGGATGCAACTCTGTAGCAGCTGAAAGAAACCAATCAGGTCTGTCTGGATCACACCCTCCAGGCCCTCGGTGAGCCAGGAAAAATGCTCCTGGCTCACTGTGCTGAGCACAGGCAGGGAACCAAACCAGACAAAAAGCAAAGGTAGCAGAAGAGACATTTGGGTTGCTTTAGATCCCTCAGTCCTAGTGTGCAAGGGAGGGCAGAATCCCAACAACTCTGATTTCCATTCTGCAGACTGGCTATCAACAAAACTGCAAAAGATATTGTAAAAGCCTTGCTCTCTGTTGTACACCACATTTTAATGGAATGGAAATTAAGTTTAAACATTATCATGTTCTCAGTCTGCAAAAATATTCACAAGACAAATCACATATTCAGACTGTGGTTGTACATACATAGAATTTCACCATTTTCAGACAGAGATCTAATAGGTCAATACCAAGTATAATGAAGGGGTAAATCTAATCCATTCTACCTAACTGGAATAAAGCACCTGTCATTCCAGTACCTGAACTCCCTGTGCACTAAAGCATGCAGCTATCATCCCACAGAGTGCTATATTCTCTCATCAGAACACAGCAAATCTTTACTGATTGCTGCAGGAGAGTATTCTAAAACATAACTCAGCTGACATTTAAAATTTGTCCCCCTCAAAAAAAAGGTAAGTTTTTATTAAAAATACAATTCAGACAGCTTCAGCTTCCCCTTAGAGCATTATGTTTTACTCTTGGGTTGAAATCAGACATGGGCATCCACTGTGTCCTATGCTTGCTCAAGTATTCTTGGGTAAGTAAAGCCTCCTATAACCTTTTTGAGGAATGGTTCCATTTCACTAGACAAAATCTCATACAGCAGAAAGACTCTGGATGGCTAATAAATGGCTTTCTTTTTGTATCTAAAGTTTTAACAGGCAGCTATCTTTTTTCAGTGATCAGTTTTATAACCTGACAAAATGACACTTTCAATAAACTTTCAATACACAGTGTCCTGATTTTGGTGATAATGGACTTGAATAGGTTACCAGCAGACAGCAACAAGAGATAAATTTAAACTGAAACTCAAATAAAAATGTGTAAAAATGAACAAAGCCATATACTATTCCTGCAGGAGGAATGTAGGTATCTGTACTACGACTACTACTACTACTACTACTACTACTACTAGCCTTTATTGGTTGCTTTTTTATATCCACACAGTGAATTTGATCAAATACACAGCTGATCTAATGTCAGGCAAGCTACAGTTTCCGAGAGAAATTAAAATAATGCTTGGATCTATTTAAACCAAAAAACAAACCAAAATAAAAATCCTAACCGCCCAAAAGCCCCCAGTCCTCCTTTATCTTTAGAACTACTACTATTTAATTTGAGTTTTAGCTGTTGCTAGTCATGGTTCTCATCAAATGCTAAGGCAACCCTAATTTTCAAGGAGAAATAAACCCCAACAATTAAAAAAGTGTACATGTTGTTGCCATCCCCCCATTCCTCTAGCTCCCTTCCAGGGCACACCCCAGTCTCAGAGGAGGACCTCCTCAAGCACAGAGACACCATCTAACAGCAATGTTGTTTCTGCAGCTAAAGCTTTGACTTCTGTGGATGCAGCCATCAAGCAGGAACCAAGACATGGCAGCAGTAACTGAGGATGCCACTGGGGCTCATTTAACCCCAACAATTGCCAATACAAACTAAACCCATCAAATTTCTGGACAAATCTGAACAGGCACAATATGTTTATATTGGATGAGAAATGCCAGTAACAGGCAAAGTAATGATCAATTATTGGGAGACCTAAAACCAAAACCATAGCCAAAAATACTAAAGAGGAGTCAACTACTTAAATTATAATCCTACAACAATTTATTTGGTGCATCAAAACCCATGATACAAAGCTGAAATTATGTACCAAATTAAATTTAGTGTTGTGTAATAGCCATCAATATTTTTCATCCTGTGTCTGTAAATTCAAAATTCTTTCTCTTTTCTCTAGTTTGCTTATAGTTTCATCTGTTTTTATTAGACTCACTGAGCTGTTTGCAGTGGATGTGACAGAGCAAGTTATGACGGGAAAAAGTGTCACCTCAGCTGAGAATGGAAAGCAGAGACCTCAAAGGGAATGTTTGGGCAAAAGCAGCTGTTTTATTTTCCTGTTTTCTTGGGATTTTTGCACACAGCTGTTGATTGAGAAACTGTATTTGGAAAAAGCAAGAAAATTTATTCAACTGAAAGCCTCTACCACAGGGGCACTGACCATGACTCCAGCTTCAGAGGCATCACTTGAAATCAAGTTAGCAAGATTTTTTTTCAGTTCACCACCAAAGGCTCATGAAACTGCTGCAAAATTTGAGCTCCCCTCCTTAACACCTGGACTCTACAACCCACAAGCAGTTCTTCAGTACAGTACAACCAGTATTCAAGTTGCTAACTAGAAGCAAGCTTTAAAAAACTGCTTCCTCCAAGTGTTTTCACACAGATTGTGCTCCTGAAAGCATTCAACCAGCTTTAAAATGTTTTCTGAAGTAGTTTGATGGAATGATTATTGAAAAAATTAAAGAACACCTAAGCATTTAAATCTATTTTAATGCATTTATTGGTCCAAGAACTGTTAAGATGATGGGAGGAACAGTTTTGTTCCAAGACCACACACTACAGAGACGTCATACACAAAAAAATGTTATTGCAACACTGACTCACTATACAAGGCATCTAAGTCTACAACATATTGAACAGTTCTCCTTTCAATACCCCCATATGACAAATATCCACAAAGTTTTAAAATATTTTAGGGAACCGACCTTCCTATCTACTGGCTCTGGTTTTAGCATTGTTTGCACGGCTATGCCAGTTCTGCTTTCAATTTATTATACAATTAAAATATTTACTTAAAGAGTACACTTAAAACAAGAATTTAAATAAGATTTTCAACCTTGAGGGGTTCTCTGGATTATTTCTACAGGATTCCCAAGTGTAATCAAGGCTATAGCAGATGTGTATTTAAGACAGCTCTTCTGCCAGAAAACACAAACAAAAAGCAAATTGCATTCAGTTCCCTCCCTAGCCCTTTCTTTGTCTTCATACTATCTTCCAGATTCATACCAACACACATTTTTATACTGACATGCAGAAAACAAATGACAGAACAAATTCAGCTGAAAAAATAAATTAGCAGAAAGTTATTTTTCATCTGGAATCCAGCTCACGGAACAACTTTACAGCTCCTGTGCCAGCAGAAGGCAGAAATGAGCTACTTCGAGACTTTTCTGTTAAATATTGTCAGTGCAGCCAACAACATCCTGAAAAAAACAGCAGTGCTTCAGCAGACTTAAATTTATTTCACCTTCAAGAGAAAATGTA